TTTTTGCATTGTTCATTTTGACATTTGGGTACTCAGGACAGTAAATTATGTTTGTTTTTTTTGCCACGTTAAACACCATTAAGTTCTCTCGCACAGCAGAAACTTCATAAACAAAAGGTGTTACCAAGAAACCAAAAGTAATGCTGTGTCACTACCTGCCCTACCCATAGACTGTATAAAAACAGGTCTTACCCTTTCTATTCAAGTCACTGGCTGGTGTCACAAGGCCTTCAAATAGCAGAAAGCTTAGGTAACATCAGATACTGACCGCCTGAAGTACATTACTGTGGCAAAATGGGGCATTGTGGTATCTATAACTATAATGTGGTGGCAACAACATAATAATAAGTAAAAATGTATCCATTCTAGTTATCCATCTTTCTTAAAGTCCCTCTAATACCAGCATCCCAATGTTTTCAAGAACAAACATCACAATTTTAAACGTCCAGTCGAACGTTATTTTAATCAGTCTCACACAAAAAAACAGAAATTATGTCTTGTATTGTGGTACTTTTGAAATTATTAAAAAAAAAAATGTTTGACTGTTGATCAACTTCATTTGAAGCAACCCAGCATGCGGATCTCACACTTATGGTTCAATTCAACTGTCAAAGGGGACGTGTGATGTGATCAGCAAATATATAAACTGTAGTTACAACATGTCTAAATTAAGTAACCATTTAAAATTAATTAACCATTAACTAACCAACAGTCGGTTGTGCCTTGTAAACCTGTTATGCTTCACAGCTCAAGGTAAATTCAATCCATCTGTGTAAACAAATCTGTACAAGAAAGTTGCAATGCAAACTGGACGAAACACAAGTATAAAAGTATCATCTAAACAGCATATTTGTTTTAGAAATCCTAACCAACTTAGCGACGTTAACACTCAACAGGAAAGCAGAAACTAAGTAGGCTATAACTTGAAAAACGAGCTTCGCCCTGTTTTGAGTACGCCAACCCACATCAACCGGTAAAACTCAAATGTAAAAAATATCAACCTGCTCGAGCGTAAACATTTCTACAACTAAAAAATAATATGATATACAT